TATGCAAGAAGTTTACTTAGCGACATCTACTGGCTCTGTTCCTATGTCTTAACGTTGCACACCCCCTGTAAGGCCTGCAGATGCCCTCACCACAGTGCTGGAAATACAGCGCCCAGACCTAAACATCTGTGATGTATAATTCACCTATGGAACAAGGATTTTCTAAAATAGAGCCTGGCACTTGGTGACCAAGCAAAGGACAAGAAATGTCATGAATATGCTGAGAATTAATGACTGCTGCGTTCTCAGCCCTAAATGGGATGCCTCTACCAACTTCTCTCCCGTAAGGCTCTGAGAGTGTCATGGAAGAGGTGGGGGAGGAATATAAGAGCCAGCGATGGCAGAGTGCTGTGAAATTCTGTCTTCAGGACATGGAATGGGGTGGCACTTGTGAACTCATTTTAGTTACAATGACCCTCACAAGATCAGCCCACCAAGATCAGTCAAGAGCCAGCAGGCGGCACTGCTAGATTCAATGTGAAAAGGAAAGGGAGAGAATACAATGGATGGAGTTGTCCAGGGGTAATGAGAGGAGCCTGGGCATAGACAGAGTCAATGTACACCTGTGTGAAACTGTCAAATAATAAATAAAAGAATAAGAGAAAAAGAATTTTAAAAATAGAATAATACTACATGCAGTGCATCCTGAGGCATCTTTTAGAGCCTCCCCATCCCAAGGCCACTAGGGAGGAGTCTGTTGCTGGCAAAGGCCTGTTAGACCCAACAGATGTAGGAAAATGAGCTTCAGATATACTCATTCCATAGTCAAGACACCAGATACCAGACATTGCATCGCCTCCATCAGAGAGCTACAGTGGAAAGGAAGGGACTCTCTGCCCAAGACAGGACGGCCACCATTGTTCTCGGCCTGGCAGGTTGGCAGTTGACAGAAAATGACTGGCTAACTTGAGACTCTCAGCCACCAACCTGTAATTCTTTCATTTTTCTCCAGAAGGCTACTGCTGGGTCGCCTGGCTCTGGGAGTGACAGGGTGATTATTGCTTATTTTGACACTCCGAATATCATGATGGGAGAAGACAGAGAAGTGCTGTGTGGAGGACCCAAGGCGTGTTTATCTTGTAATTATCCTTTCTCTGCCATCCAGAAACACACACAGCATAAGACAAGCATGGCAGGAGGCTGTCAGGCTGGGGAGGAAGGGATTCTTCTCCTTGGAGTTCAGGACACAGGAGCTGGGATGGGGCTGAGGCCAAGGTATCTTCACAGACAGTGGGGACGTTGTACAGGTGCAGCTATTGACCTTGGAGTTGTCTATGGCCACAGGGTTCAGTTCCTGAAGAACATCAAACCAAGAGCTGTGGTATGGGAGAGCAGCTCCCACATTTATTTACCCCGGGGACTCTTGAGGAGTGAGAGATAAGAGATTTAGATAGAAATATAGAAGAGAGAAACAGATAGAAACACAGGATAGCCTCTGAGGGCCTAGGTCAAAACCTACCAGCCCCTTCTGTCTCTGCTAAAGGGCTTTTAAAGGAATGCCAAGGGGTGGAGCAAAAGACCTCCCCCCAGTACAGCCAAGCACAGACCATCCCAGACACCTGGTAACCATGCACGTGGTCAAGCCATCCCCTATTGCAGCCCTGCTGTATAAAGCAAGCTCAGCTCTCACTAGGAAACTTCTGTGGACCCCAACACTGAGGGAGGCTGATGACAGGTGTGTAGTTATGAAAACTGCCAAGGCAAGCTGGGCAAGAGGCCAGCCATTCTCCTCTATAGACAAGATTGTGGCTCTGGTCAGATGAATTAAAACAAAGCCCAGTGCAGGCAAGTGCACGAGTCAACACCCTGTGCACTGGTGGATAAGACAGGCGGTGTGCAGAACTGTAAGATGAATTGCACCATCACAGAACTCAAACACACTCATAGGGCTTAGCACATGTGTGTGTGTGCATGTGCGTGTGCGTGTGCGTGTGTGTGTTAGCCCCAAGGTCATTATATTAGTCACTTTTCTCACTGCTGTGACCAAATACCCAACAAGAAGAACTGAAAAAGTGAGGGGTTACGGTTGGTTGGCTCACGGTTTTAGGGAAACAGTCCATCATGGTGGAGAAGGCAGCACATGGCTCTATGGTGGGGTCATGAACCTCGAACTCCTCAAATATAGGTGGATCAGGGAGCAGAGAGTGGATAGGAAGCAGGTTCAAGGCATAAAAACATCAAGGCCCATCGCCAGTGGCCCCCTTCCTCCAACAAGGTTTCACCTCCCAAAGTTTCTACAACCTCCCAAGACAGTGCCACCAGCTGGGAACCAAGTGTGTGAACACATGGGCCTGTGGGCCACATTTCACACCCAAACCACATCAGTTCTGTCCTTCTATGTTGCATGGAGTGGACACTGTACAGTCTCCACAGAAGTGGAATTTACTAAAAAGAAAACCCAGCTGTGTGCCCACATCTGGGCAAACACAAAGGCAGGCTTTGGACCAGGTTTTCCTATTCCCCAACAATTGATTAAAGTGAAGACCTTTTCTGTGTACCTGTGAGACTATATCAGGGTAACCCTGGTTCTGTCATCGGATCAACTCTATGAGAACAAAGAAGACACACAGAATGAGCTCCCCAGAGCACCCTGAAGGTGCTTCACCCTGGGTCTTCTCCACCTCTTCTAATCATCCAGATGCATATGTGAGTCTCGGGCCACGATGACTTCGTTTTTCTATTTTCTTTTACTCCTTCAGCTATAACTTCAATTAAATGCAGATTAGTGAGCAGTTTCAATCAATTAGGCATCCAGCAGGCACTAGCCAAGGGAGACACACTGTGTCAAGTGTACTTAACCTGAGATGTTGGTGTAGAATTGATGAGGGCAAGGTTCCTTCTCTGCCTTCAGCCACGAGGACTTCACATCTTCCTGGATGAGATCTGGGGCTTGAAATCTGCCTATGACTTTTGCAGAGAGCCTGGGGTGGCCCTCCTTCCCAGGTCAGGGGACTGAGAGTAACTACACAGGACCACTGGGTAGGAAACTCTGATGTCATTCACAGTATTGCTTAGAGGGAAATAGCATGCATCATTAACACTACCTTCCCTTCCAACATCTGGGGCAGAGGAAGGGGTCTGCTTCTGCCAAGAATGTGCTATTCTTGTGTTGGACCCTGTATTTTCTCTGCAACATTTCAAAGGCAAAGAAACAATGTACGTAGTAGATGTGCCTTGCGACACACAGCTAATGGTAAGGTGGGTGAAATGAATCAAAATTACATAACACCTCCATCCAACCTTTAGGGTGACTAAATTCCCCTTCTTCACCTGACCACTCACACCTAATGGTTAAAACTCTGGTTCTAAGTAAGCGTGGAAAAATAAATCAATGTTCTAGCTTTGATGATAGTAAGAGCATGTAAGCTAGAAAGGAATTCTGGGATACTGGGTTAGCTCAGTAAACGCCATGTTTTCCTTAAGCCCCTGGATTTTTTTTTATATGTGGCTATTCCCACTGGAAAGGACAGCTGTCCTGCCAGCTAGATCACTTTAGGTAAGAGCTCTGGTTGAGCACATGAGCCGCGCACATGATACTTAGAAAATCATCAGGATAAGTGGCCTTATTTTTCTGAGTGGATTTTAGACCATGTTGCTATCAGTGTTCATAATTACAATATTTTTAAAGTTAAATCTTAGCTGCAGAAGCGTTATAACCACCCTGTGAGACTAACCAGAACGTGACAGATTAGGCTAAAATGTGCCCTCATGACCACCCCAACCCCAGTCTCCTCTCTGCCCTCAGACTTAACCAGCACGACCAGCGCGAGGCTCACTGTTGCAAACCTTCTGTGCTTCATAGGTGCAAATAGTACCGGCGCCACGCATGCCTGCTGTGGGGGGGGCAAGCAAGGTCACACAAGAGGCATAGCAGTCACTCATCAGCCTGATGTATTTTATTTGGGGTGTTACCTGGAGTGTTGTCCATGGTAGACCACATTAGGTCTATGACTTGCCCCAAACAACTTCAAAGTGTTTCATGCTATGTAGATGATGCTACCCTCTTATTGATTCCCCTGTTGCTGGACAGCTAGGTGGAATCCAAATTTCCTGCCACAACAGATAAGCTCTCCGTGGACTTCCTTGTGCAAACGGCTTGACAGGCGCATTCTCCAGCATAGATGGCAAGAAGGCAAATGCCTTATTTTCACTCCTTGCACCCCGTTATCCTTGTACATCAGAAACCTGGTTTCCCTCCGTGTTGGCTGTGTGTGAGCAAGGCCCTCACAAAAGAAGTTGAACTACCAACCCCGGGTGTTATCAAGCAGTCTGTGCTTCTTCATAGAAGTAGGTCCTGTGTCCACGTCTCCTGCTTGTCCTGGCAAGACCGCACCCAGTCACCCTCATCTCTGCATCTGAAGTGACTGAGAGAGGGTGACCACTACCTAATAGGTTTTCGGGCCAAGTTGCCCTGTGTTCTCTTTATGTGGAGTAGCTTTCTCTTGAAAGTCCTTATCCTTCACCTTGCTCACACCTCCTCACTCCATGGGTATCTACCTCAGGAACCTTCTCTGAGCCTGGGATAGATGAAGCTGCTCTTTGCCCTCTCCATGCCCTATTAATGATGTCCACCTCTTTATGTCTCCACCTCTCTGAGCTCCAGGATGCCGTGATGTCTGACCCCCTTTGTGCTTCTATTTCCCCAGCACCTGTCCCAGGCACAGACAGGCATCCCATAAGAGGTTTAAAATGAAAGCTGTTGTCACAGAGCCACAGCCAAAATGGAATGAAAGCCTGTAAAAATAAATCGCACATCAGCAGAAGGAAAAATTAAGCTGTCACTCCATCGAACAGCAGCGCTTTCTTTTCTGTATTTCAGGTCCTTTAATGTGATGGAGCTGGGAGGAAATGCTAAAGCAGAGCTTGGCAAACGATTTGTCTTCTTAATTCAGAGGGTGATTGGCAGGTTATTCCCTTGCGTCGCTCATGGGGGAGAGGTCCTGACCATCCTGCCCCTTTGATAACCATCTCCCACCCTTTGGTCCTACCCCTCCCCTTAGGGACCACGGTGATGCGGATGACAGCATTTGATGCAGACGACCCGGCCACTGACAATGCCCTCCTGCGGTACAACATCCGTCAGCAGACGCCTGACAAACCATCTCCCAACATGTTCTACATCGATCCTGAGAAAGGAGACATTGTCACCGTCGTATCACCTGCGCTGCTGGACCGGGAGGTGAGCTGAAAGGATTTTGTTTTCTCCTTCATGAGAATAGAACACGGCTCCCACCGAAGGAAACGCGTGGGAGTCAAGGGCACTCGAGACTGCAAAGGCAGGAACGAGATGTTTGCACACGGCTGGGTGGCCAAATCTCTGGAGATAAATGGGCTGGGATGTGACCCAGTCAAACACTCTGCGGGGCTGGGTGGCCCTGGTTATTTCTAGTCACCTGGTGACCCATCCTCTTCAAACTTCTTTCAGAAACATTCCTATTTTAAGGTCTTCTGAAAATGAGAAATTTGGAAAGCCTTGGCCTAATTTCCACATACACACCCCACTGGTCCATGAGATGTAATGGTCAGATAAAGCCAGTGTCAGCTGACCCATTTAAACTGAGCCTGTGTACATCCCTTGTTTATATTTTGGCTTTAATGCACCCGCATGTGGCTCTGTCCTCTCCTGAGTTCCAGGTCCACCTGGTAGCTCATATGAAGTCACACACATCACACAGACGTTGACGGTGAGTTCCCATCTGTCTCTCACCCTCCCTCTACCTGAGAGCTGATCCTATAATGCAGCCTCTTGTTCCAGACACCACGATCCAGGCTTGACCCTAGATGCCATCTGCACTGTGTGACCGCCAGCCTTCCTTAACGGGCTCAGCTTTGTGCATTTTCCCTTCAGTGTTTCCGATGGAGCCATGCAGGGCTTAGGATGTTTTCTCATCTCCATTGTCTCTGCTTTTCCACGTCTCTCATGCAAGTCTGCGTTAGATCAGCTCACCCCCCCCACTCCGAGACTCTACACACACCCCAAGTCTGGTTCAGTCTCCAGTTTCTAAGTTCACACACCTGCCATCCCATGCCAAGGCACATGTTGCCCCAGACTGTCACCTGTCTCATTAAAGTGTCTCTCTTCTACTGGCCTAAAGTCGGATCATTCAATAAGAAGTCACTGGTGAAGTATGGTTAGTCAAACTTTATATTAATTGAACGGGGACTATAAAAAGCAGTTTCTGGGTCACACTCACCTCTTTCTGGGGTTTAGTAGTCACACATGGCTAGTAGAAGCTGAGGCAGTAGGCAGTGCCGACCTAGAATATAATGTCATTTCCAGAAAGTTCTGTTGACCTAGATCATAAATTTGAAATCAAAGACTGTGGTCTGTGAATGTTTGCATCTTCACTGCCAAGTGCAGTGTGAGCACTCTGACCGTTCTAATTATATGTTCGTTGACAGAAGAAGAAGGGGAGTTGAGTTGAAACGGCCCCAAAATTTACTCCTGAGGGCCAGGAAACAGAAGGTAGGCGGAGGAAATTGCTGGAAGGGAGAGAAACTTGTGTTAAATTGTGGAGGGCTCTTAGAAAATCTAATTGTTTTTGGTTTAAAAACAAATCAGAAAGTAGACGTTTTTTGAATTCCTTTCTTCTATTTAATTTCCAGTTTTCTTCCCAACACTCCTCACTTCTATAACTACTGTGTTGTATTTATATGTGTACATGTACAAGTGTTGAGTAGTTAGGTGTGCAGGCACATGTGTGCACAAGTGTGAAGAGGTCAGAGGTCAATATCAGACGTTGGTGTCTCCCTCTACTGCCTATTAGTTTTAGAGATGGGGTCTCTCTTGGAACTGAGCTTACAGTTTCAGCCAGCCAGACTGGCCAGTCAGCCCCTGAAATCTGCCTGTCCCTGCTCTCCCAGAGCTGGAATTACAGACATATACCATACCGTGCCTGGCTTTTACATGGTTGTTGGGGATTTGAACTCAGGTCCTAAGCTTGCCCAGCAAGTACTTTACCTGCTGAACCATCTCTCCAGCCCAGATATTTCCTTTTTCTTTGAGGATGATTGATGGCTTCCCAGTATGGTTCTTATTGTTCACCCACCATGTGTGCATACACACATACACACACACACACACACACACACACACACACACACACACACACACACATCACATATCTGCACCAGCCTTCCCGTAGCCGTAAGCACTCAAAGGTCCTTGCATTTCTTTGCAAGGAGGCAAGACCAACTACTGTGATTTTGCCACCTCAGCAGCTCTTTGTTTTGAAACAAAGCATCCTGTGAGTCCACTTATAAACCGGAGGACCATATACGACATTCTTAAAGTTTATGTGGGGGACACATGGAGGATCCCGACACTCCTCTGGCTCTTGTTGAGTGGCAATAAGTATATCATTATAGGAGCTGAATTAAGCATTCCAATCCACAATACATAAACAGCCCCAAAAAGGAGAAATTCAATTTAACTGAAATTGGAAAATCAATGACAATGAATGACGAGTGTCACTTCTGCCGGGGTTTCCAGAGTTCAGTGCTGAGCCAGACATCATGAGCACAATCTGTGGGAAAGAAATGTCCATGCTTTGGGCATGGGAGCTGAGCAGGATCGCTGCACTCAGCTGCTGAGTCTGCCAACCTCCAGCTCTGGCTCTTTAAAGGCCAGGAACTGCCCATCATGTTCAGATCCCCTGACTTGCAGTATCTCAATCCTACTAGGCCCAGTTACTCTCCTAAGATTCACGTGGATGTGTCAGGTCCCTTCAGCCAGAATGTAGACTTCCATGTCAGTTTTATTTCTGGAGAATTACTAAGAAACCTTGCCATTCTGGATATGTTTAGCCAGCTGGGTGTTCAACACGGAGCTTGCAACATTCTCTTTTAAGAAAATGTTTTGGGGCCTAAGAGGGTAGCTCGGTGGATAAAGCATTTACCTTGAAAGCATTAGGACCGGGTTTGATCACCAGAACCCATGTTAAAAAGCAGTATGTGGTAGTGTACATTCATAACACCAGCTCTGAGGACACAGAGACAGGAGGATTTCCAGGACTTGCTGACCAGTCTGTCCTAATTGGTGAGCTCCAGGCCACTGACAGACCTTGTCTCAAAGGAGATAGATGAGGTTTTCAAAGTTTTCCTGCAGCCTATGCAAACACACACCCACAAGGATGTACATATTCACATGCTCACACTCGTTTTTTAAAGAAAAGAAGGGGCTGGAGAGATATTCAGCAGTTAAAATCCTTGGCTGCTCTTGTAGAAGACCTGGGTTCAATTCCTGGAACCAACATTGTGGCTCACAACTACCTGTAACATCAGTTCCAGGGGATCTGATGTCCTCTTCTGACCTCCTCAGACACCAGACACACGTGATGCCACAGACATACATACATGCAAAATATCCATGAACACATAAAATAATTTTTTAAATATTTTAAAAATAGGAAAAGAATAATTTTCATGTGAGACCTATGAACTTTGATGTGATTTGAGGAGTTTGACGTCCGTGTGTGTGTGTGTGTGTGTGTGTGTGTGTGTGTGTGTGTGTGTGTGTGTGTGTATTGACAATAACAAGTGCAAACAAGTCAGGACTCCTTTGAGAGCAGTGGCTCTCCCATGGCTCCTAGTTACTCAGTCTGGACCCAAGACTAAGCTAACTTATCTCCAGCTTGTCTGGAGTGAGGACTCTAAACCCCTGATTGCTGTAAGTTCAGCTGATAGCAATGTCATGCTGATTTTCCGTGTGGTGTGTTTCCTTCCATGAGTCCATCTCCCAAGGAGGACCCAGCAGGAGGCGTTTGCTCTGGGGAGAGACAGCTGATCTGGCATCTGGGAGGAGGCGGCACATGCTGAGCAAGAGCTTTCAACCTGTCAATTTGTCTTCCCTATTTCCATGGCTGACTTGGTCACTGAGCACGTGGATGCAGTGAGGAGATGGCCTTTAGTCCACTGCGTGTGACTTGCCATCCTTCCTTCTCTCCTTCCTCCTCGCTCCCTGAGATGCCTTGATATGTCCAAATATCACCATGCTCTGAGGTTCAGGAGAAAGAGGGTTCTGTCTGCTCTTCCCTGACATATCCCCAGCTCTTAGTACAAAAGGGGTACCCGAGGAGCTGCTTGCTGAGTTAAAAAGGAGTGACGGTGAGGGCACAGCTGATTTGTGAGGTCAGTGATTACCATTTGTGAGGCTATTGATTAGCACTCCATATTGGAAGCTCAGTGTGAAAGACCACAGGTTGTACTTGTTTTTCCTTTACAACTTGATCATATACTTTTTCTGATAGACTACCAAAATGACACTTCCTAAAACAAGGATCCTTAGATCTCTGACCCATCTACATATTTGTTTTGCCAAACATAGTATCAGATGTGTAATAGAGTCAGGATTTGTTGGCTGGATGGATAGGTATCTGGGTGGGTGGCTGACTGGGTGGATATATAGGTGAATAAGTGGATGGATTGGTTGATGGGTGGGTGGGTGGGTGGGCAGTTGGATGGACAGATAGATTGATGGATGCATGGATGGATGGGTAGATGGATGGATACGTGGACATATAGGTGATGGATGAACGGACGGATGAGTGGGTACATGGATGTATAGATAATAAATGGATGGATGGATGGATGGATGGATGGATGGATGGATGGATGGATGGATAGATGATGGGTGAGGGGATAGATAGATTAAATGCCCTATATTCCTTAAGTTTGTATTATCTCAGAACATACTACTGGGTCCTCATTTTATTTTAGTCACTAGCTTAGTCCTACCTCTATGTTCTTGCCCAACAGTCTAATTAATGCATTTGATGTCTAACTGGTACCAAGAGCTGCATCAGGCTCTGTGACACAGTCTACTGATCCACATGGTGAATGGCAGACCTGTGGGAATCTGTGCCTCCAGCTCAAACATTCAAGGAAATGTTTGTAGAAAATAAGGACCATATATCCTACTCAATGAAATTGGGTTCGTCTAGGGCACTGTTTTCTTCTTTTCTATGACCATACTCAGCCACTGCGTTCTAACAGCTCCATCTGTGTTTTTAAACTATGTCTGGCTGCACTACAAAATAAAATCAGATAAAGGTCTCTCACGGTTGATAAATGGTCTATTTAGCAGATCATCTTGGCTGCTAGACTGGAATTCATCAGCTGGAATCTGCCAGCTTTTCTGAACACGACCACAATTTGCAACTACTCAGAGCACCTAATGGT